CCATCAGCCTTTGCGCAGCCGGCCCCGACTCAAACATCCAGAACGCCCTTGGACCGATGCGGTGTAAATGGCGGCTCGTGTGTGATGTCATTGGTGTGTCCACTTGACAGCCAGGTCCTTGATATGCAGATGTCTTTTTGACTTGGCTGGGTTCTGACGTCATCCGCTTGACCGACGGAAAGAGCAAATTATGAAAATTCAGGCTTTGAGAAAGGGACTGAGGCACGTGTCAATAACGCGCTGCTGTACACTTCGCCGCTAGCAGAGTAGGGAGGGCAATGAGTTGATTTGGAAGTGAACTTTGGTGACTTCCTAGACGGTCAATCATCTGCTGATTAGTCAGACCTCATGTTGAGTAAACATCACACGATGGGTCGAGCAGCCTTGCCCGGAGGCACCGATTACTTATGCGGCACAATCATTCAATGGGTGGGAACGGGGAGGTGAGATGCAGCGCAAATCGCATCCGCCAAGGAGTTAGCGTTGACTCTTCGGGACGAGGCCTGATCGAAATTCGTGTGAAACTCCCCTTCATTTTTGCAAGAGATCCCATCATCTCCGAGAGCCTTTCCTCCTGTTCGGAGTCGAGGTCAAGTTCCGTGAGCGCTGTCGAACAAACGGCCAAAACTTGCAGCAGCGATCACGAAAAGCGAAAGGCTAAGTCAAGCCCAAATCCGTCCTGACAGTCATACGCTCCATGCGCCTCCGCTCGGCATTCTGATTCAGGTTGCGCATGCGGAATATGAGTTCGGCGGTCAAATTCAGCTGTTCTTGTCCATCTCAGGGGGCGGCCATTTTGACACTTGTCGTCGGCTGAAAATGGCCCGACGGTCGCTCGGGTAACGCCCAATCACAACTCAGCGTGAGAAACCGAGTGAGCCGTGATTGGCCGGCGCCTGAGCCCTGAGCGACTGTGGACGGCAAGCGGCAAAATGGCCGCCCCATGAGATGGCTAAAAACAACTTGCTTTTCCTGCTCAACTCCGATTCCGCAAAGGCATTGTGACTCAAAGCGCTGCTGTCTTTAGACGCATCCAACGTATTCTTGTTGTGCTCGACTTCCCCTTTCATGGAAGTTCATTCTCGAGCCTTCAGCACCACTCATTAAAAGATCCAACCTGTGCATTCATGCCCATGATGAGTCCGTATGCGTGTGCGTGCGTGTGCGTTCGTGCGTGTGTGTGTGTCAACTTCTGAGCACAAGTGTATTTCCCCTTTGCACGACATCGGTTTGTTGCGCAACACAGGCAATGGCCAACCGCCGACATGATTTCCTGGGTTGGCGCTTCACATTGCCTCAAACTAAGCGCAATGAATCCAAATGCCTGCGTTTCTTCCGTCCGTCGTACCGTCGGCTCGATTCTCGGAAAACCGGGTCTGTGTCGCTCATCGAAATCAAGCCTTCTAAGTGGAGCGCACTCCGGTTGTGTGTCTGGCTCGGATCGATGGGTCAGGAGACGGGATTTAGCAGGAAATTGGAGCTGATTACCACCGTGTTCTGTTCACTTGCACCGAGTCGACTTCATTGACTCCTGACCACTCATGCATGCGACACACACGCACACGCACACGCGCGCACGTCTTGCGCAAACCTCTGCGTGACCCCAATCCCAGCTATATTATCGGAAGAGCAGCTCTTGCTCAAACAAACACTTTGTTTCTATCCCCCGACGTGTACTACAGGAAATGAGAGACGAAGACGGGAGGAAGTGTCCGAAGCAGGGGTGTCCAAACTTTTGCATTCGAGGGCCGCGGACAGAGAAGGGGAAGGATCAGAGGCCCACTTTCAAATTGGTCCGCTTTTTGAAACGCGCTCAAGTCGGTCCAAAAAGCGGCTCCGGATTGTTTGGATTTTCTGGGTCATGTCATCAACTTTCCATTGTGAAGGTGTTCAGGAAAATTGTGATTTTTTTTCTCGGGTGGCCAACGGCTCTCGATCTCACCAGAAGAGACCCAACACCGCACTTGGCAGCACGTTGACTATCAGAACTTCAAAAAAATAAATTTTCACTGACTTGAACATTATTCATGTGATAAATTCTTCATAAATCAGCCATAGAGCACAAAGTGGAAGAACTGTTCTTCACTTGAGCACAGGTGTCCAAACTATAGTCCGGGGCCTTTTTGCGGCCCGCCTTCCATTTCTCAACGGCCCACGACATGAGAGACAAAAAAATGACCCAAGGTGAGTTAAATAAGGTGAAGGTGGGCAGAGTGAGAAGGGAAGGTGCCATTACGACTCATACATTTGTTTAGATACCGCGGGGGGGGGGGCGAATGTTGAGAAGGGATTCGGCTGCTGTTCAGTCCAGAGCCGCATCTACTCGGTGAGACAGAGGGCTGTTGGCCACCCCCCGAAAAACCTATCTGCCCGAACACCTTGGACAGAAAGCTGATGAAATGAACTCGACAACACAAATAATACCAAATTGCTTCCTTGTCTGACTTGAGCACGTTTGAAAAAGTGGAAGAATTTGAAAGTGGTCCTTTCATCCTTCCATTTTTGTGTCGGCGGCCCTCAAACCAAAACATTTGGACAGCCCTGCTCTCGAGTGTTTCAAAGCTAAATTGTGTTCTTCTTTGAATCATAAATGGTTCATTGGTGACTTTGAATAGAGAGAAATGTTCGACAGTACACCCCCCTCACTTTGGCCCCCTTCACATTTTTTGACTAACCATGCAGTCCATGTTAAATTTCTTTTTTCGGGGTGGGGGTCCATGTCACGGACTGTTGAAACAAGAATGGTGGGCCGCAAATGGCCCCCCGGGCCGTAGTTTGGACCCCACTAGTCCAATGCTGTGACGTTTTTCCTTCCTGTCTGGTGAAAATACAATCTTGCTTCCATTCCACATTTTTTTCTTCAAAGGGTCAGTGATGACTGCTAGACATTCATAAATTCATTTTCCTCACTCCGTCGTTGTGCTGCCAGGCTAGATGAGGAGCAGATTTACAAGCACGCCAGTAAAAAAAAAAAAATGCCGTGTGTTACGTTGAGTTGGAAGATTTCCCACTTTCAGCATCGCGCAGTCGCTTTTATTGTTTGAAGCCGGGCATTAGATTTCACTCATAAATGTTTTAAAATCGAGCAATATTTATGCTCATCTACTTTTATGGCAAATCTATATTGGAGCCATCAGGCGTACATTAGTGAGTGAAGTATATTTGACCGAATCCTGGTCCTCATCGAGAAGTCGATGGGCAGCATTAAGCCGCCCGCGTAAATCAAATCTATGGCCCGGTGATATTTTTGCACGAGTCACTTGAGTACGACTCGGGAGACTCACTGCCAATCAGCGCCGGCTAATTGGCAGAACTTGATCCCTTTGTGACTCTTGAGCCTCAGGGACCCAATCGACCGAGCCCGACCCAGTAGGCCATAGGTGACAAACTCCGGTCCTGGAGGGCCGCCGTCCCGCGTGTTTTCCGAGTCTCCCTGTTGCAACGCACCTGATTTAAATGGACAGGTTCAATGTCAGGCTTCCGCAGAGCTTGCCGATGATCAAATCATTTGAATCAGGTGTGTTGCAACAGGGAGACTTGGAAAACATGCGGGATGGCGGCCCTCCAGGACCGGAGTTTGGCACTTGCGCAGTAGACACCCAAAGAGTTCCAAACGGGAAAACGCACGTGATCAGACAGGAAACAGACTAACCGAAAACAGTACGTTTGTGCTTGCGACGATCTTCAAATCCTGTGTATACTTTAGCCTATTGGTCTCCAACTTCGCTATTAGCGACGAAACCGCTAAGCTTGACGGGGGCAACGTGGCGGCGGTACGCTATTTGCGTTTGGCAACGTGTCCAACTGCACGCAACGACTCTCCCAGAGTAAAAACTCAACGGTTGCTCTCATTGTCATCGATGAGCACCCCTTGGAATTCAGAGCTAGAATTCAGATAACATGAAGCAACGCTAGGCGCCGGCGCACCGCGCAGCCGGCGAGGTGAGCGGGGTCTTGTTTACATGACAACACGCGTCTCCGGAAAGAAAGCGCCGGAAAAAATGAGACATAAAAGTCGACGCATGAATAAATATGAGCTGATTGTTGAGCTGTTTTAAGGCTCCCTCTCCTCTCCTCCGTAGCGGCCGCTTGCTTCAATCCTGTAGCTTTGGGTGCTCGCGCTGCGCTGGCGAGATCAACCGCAAACCGCGGCGGATCGCCGTTCTCCACCTTCCTTTGTCACCGAGTCACTTTCCGGCGCCGTGCTTTGCCCTTGAGGTGAAGTGAACGGAGACAGCCCCCGTGTTGCCGTCACTTCCGAGGATCTCTGGAAAAAGCCGGCGAGCACGGTCGTGTCGCAAGACAAAAACGAGGAGAGGCAGCTTCCTCCGACAAGCGCGGCCGTCGCAAGGATGGAGGATGAGACGAGCTTCAAATAGAAATGTTCACTGCCTGTGCGTTGACGTGGCTCGCCCGCAATTGGCGATCCCATTGAACGGACGTACCGACCCAAGGAAATTTCATGCACATTTGTGACCGGCTTTGGTGGCTGAGTTGGCTTCAGCTCACCGACGGTTGGCCGCTGCGCCACGGGTGCTCTGTCGCTGCCGACATGAATATGAATGAGCGCTGGCGGCCGGGTGCCGGTGAAGAGCTTTTTGCTCGGCCCTTCGACGGCAGCGCTCCGCTAATGGCTTCGACCTGCCTAGATTCAATCGTGTCCCCTGGTACCTCGCGAAGAGGATGTCAATCGTCCATCGGAGGCCCCTCTCGCTCTCGCCCCTGTTTTTCCGACGTTTCCGCCTCATCGAGCACACGTGCCCTTTCGGGTTTGCGGATTGGACGTGGACGGGGGGGCTGTTAGCCTTGAGCTATTACCGCTTGCGCATCGTGCAAGTTTGCCTCATATGGCAAAATCGTATCTCAAATACTTCATCATTCATTTTGGAAAGACTTTATCATGAGAGAAATCCCCCCCCCCCCAAAAAAAAAGAGCATAACCAGCTGCTAATGGAGCGTTTGCGGATTGCAAAGCTCTGGCGAGACACCCTGCCGCCAATGAAGAGTCCGGCGCTCGGAACGAATTGGACTCTCAGGCCTCGAGTGCTGCGGGGTGACGGCGGGTAGGGCGTCATCCCGCAGCCTCTTCGACGCCGTTGCGCACGGATACCCTCAACCGCGCTTCGGAGCCGAGGGCAAAACTTGCAGGCGGCTCCCGTCATTGCCGATGGGAGGCTCGGATGTCAAGAATGGATGGCGGCTTCATCAAGCATTGCTTTGCGGATGAAAAGAGTCCATGCAGAAATGGGCAGTCTTGCTCCAAGGCATGTGAGTCAAAACTCTCCCTCCCTCCCTCTCTCTCTCCCTCCCTATCTCTCTCCCTCCCCTTCTTCCCAGCTGGGCTCGCTTGCGCTCGGCACACGCTCCCTCACACGAGCGCCGAGGCTCTGCGATCCAGACGCTGTAACTTGGCGCCTCGGAGAGAGGACGCAGCCAAGGGAAGACAGAGCAGGCGTTTAATCGGGAGCCTTCCGCCCCACGCGTGACATCGAGTGAGACTAGTGCGAGGGGCGGCGGTGTACAGCAGAAGCTCCCGGTTATCACAGCATAGGAGTTTGCCTCAAAACCGAGAAACACAGAGCGAGAGAGATAGAGAGAGATTAAGACACGGCGGCACAAAAGAGTGCACATGCGAAGCCGACGCAGCAGTGACGAGATGAGCCGCCGCCTCCTCCTCCTCCGTCCGGCGGGTGACACCGAGCCGAGGCTGCGCTGGCTTTGGTGACTCTTTGCAAGGAGGTGAGCGGCGCAGATCCAGAGGACGGACTATCCAGGCACGAAAAGAAGAGAGCAGCCCTCCGATTTTTCTTCCGGGTCGGGCTCGTCTACAATCCTAGGGAGAAGGCTTTCTTCGCTATGGGCGAATTTCAAGACGCCTGAGTCCGCCGTTCCAACCGAGCCTTGGTCCTCCTCAACTCGCTCTTCAGGTAAGGGGCTGTAGGGGGGTGGCTCATGCACTTTGGATTTGGCGCGGGGAGGCCTAGAATTGACCAGCATCAACTTCGGGAAGCATTTTGACACATGCTGCTGCAGGTAAAAAAACGAAAAGAAAAACGTTGAGTTGGGTTCGTCACACCAATTCGATTCAGGTGCCATATGTTACGTGTGTTCAAATGCAAAAAGTTTCGTCATTTCTCACGCCGGAGTGACGAAAAGAAACCGCCCTCTCATCGAGGTGGGGCGCTGACAGCTTCAAAACAAACAATCCAAAACAAAACAAAACAAAACAAGAAAAGGTTTGTTGTTGATTTTTTGTTTTGTTTTGAGAGAAAGCTTTCGTTTCTCCTTCCCCCTTAGTATGACGTTCATCATGATGGCGGCATGGCTAATTCTAGCTTCTGTTCGATATTGCGTGTATAGATGTGTTCCACTGCAGGCGAAGAGTTGATTTTTCATTGCCGAAAAAATGCTTTTAGATGAAAAAGAAATACATCCCGGTGACTGTTGGAGAGCACATTCATTCGCTACGACAACAAAGGCTGTTTCATGTCGAAGAACCAACACGGCGAGTCCTTCTCTAATTTGTGTTTAAGAGGTAAAAAAGGTCGAGCGTCTTTTTTTTTTTTTTTTTTTTGGGGGGGGAAAAAAACTTTTCCAAAACAAGAAAAGGTTTGTTGTTGATTTTTTGTTTTGTTTTGAGAGAAAGCTTTCGTTTCTCCTTCCCCCTTAGTATGACGTTCATCATGATGGCGGCATGGCTAATTCTAGCTTCTGTTCGATATTGCGTGTATAGATGTGTTCCACTGCAGGCGAAGAGTTGATTTTTCATTGCCGAAAAAATGCTTTTAGATGAAAAAGAAATACATCCCGGTGACTGTTGGAGAGCACATTCATTCGCTACGACAACAAAGGCTGTTTCATGTCGAAGAACCAACACGGCGAGTCCTTCTCTAATTTGTGTTTAAGAGGTAAAAAAGGTCGAGCGATTTTTTTTTTTTTTTTTTTTTGGGGTGTGGAAAAAAACTTTCTTGAACGAATGAACAATGTCAATATCAAACCCTTCAGTCAGAAATCCAAATCAAAGGGCTTCCATAGCAAACTCAGGTCGACTTTCCTGCTGTCTTTGTATGGCAGCCATTTCATAGCTTTTCCATTCATGGTCATTTGTGAAAGGCTTTGGCTTGATGTTCAGTCCGGAATTGCGGCAAGTGGAAATGTCGAGACGACTCGATGCTTATGGGATATCCTACGAAAGTGTCATGAAATATTTGTCCTTAGCGGAAGGGACATTTGTTCAAGTCAGTAGATGAAGAGAATGAAAAGGATGGGTCAGCTCTTATTTCTGTCATAAGGATGGAGTGAACGGGGCTTTCGACGAGCACAGTTTAGCTCCAAGAAAGCGTGCCACATCCCGTTGCAGTGTGTTCGATGGCGACCCAAATGATAAGAAGACCTGGAACGGGCGGCATCTCGATTAAATCGGCGGTCAGCGTCTCCTCCGTACGTCAAGGCCGTGACAGAACACATGATGAGCAACGGCGTTTTTGTTGTTTTTTTTTTTTCCCCCCACGGTCTGTGGGTGTCGTGTATTTGATCAATGGAAAACAGGAGGCGAGGCGGAAATCAAACAAAAACCAGGAAAGCAGGCTGGGTTGCATTGACAAAGCCCGATAAACCTTCTTTCAGCTTTGCCCCATGAATTAAAGATGAGGCCCCAAAGGACTGCCTGGAGCGAAGGTCCGGCTCACCCAAAGATGAAAATCCATTGGCTCCTCTTCTTCCTCACCATTGCTGAGCTGTATTTAAGCGACACCCTCAAAATGATCTTGGATGAAATGACATGTCGACAGAATCAGTTGTTTGCAAGAAACACGCGGAAGAAAAATGACAGAGTGAATTCTATCGGGATACTTTGACCTTCGTCCAGATGGCTTGCATTTGCCCACCGAGCTCCCACGTCCCCAAAACGTGCACGCCCTCTTCGGCGAAGACTCTGAGGTGTTCACAAAAGTCCGTCTAAAAGGGGGGGGTTGACGTTGAGCGGTCCAGGGTGTCCCCAAAGGCAGCGAGATGAGGCTCACGATCACCCGCTGAGCCGAAGTTGGCTCCTTGAGTTCGCTAGGATTGTTGACATTGTTGTCACGGTCACGTCTTTGTCTCTCTCCCAGTCAGCCCACCGCGAGAAACAAGGCCAAGATTCGGGTTTTCGAATCGGCCAATTGGAAGCGACGCCCAGTCACGCTGTACGCATGCGGCGGTTGCCCCCCATTGGGTCACGATCGCTAAACGGGGCTCCTCGAAAGTTGGCGGCTCTGCAAGAGCAGTCGTTTGGCCGATGGCTCTTTTTATTGGTACTAAAAACCTGACGCCAAACAATTACGCCGATTGAAAGAACCAAAGACTCAGCCATCCGACATGAATCGTCGCCTCCTCCTGTACAGAGCAAAGTCCCCTTCTACAAGATGAGCCACAATGAATATAAATCACTCAGCCGGCAGGCAACGATAAACACGAGCGTTAATGCATATTATTAGGCATCGATGGGCAACTCCGCCGACGTTTGCATCAACACAACAGGAAGCGATTAAAAATACATGCCTATTAAGCAAAGAAAAACAGCCCTCTTACCTTCAGACAATCTTGCCCACCCGAGAGGATTGCAAACGACGAGGGCTGCGCAATTCCTTGTTTCCATTCCGCTTCCAAAGCATTCTCCATCCCGATTCTTTTTGAGGGGCGGTGTCAAAATGGTTTGCTCGCGAGGCTACCGTGGACCTAAAAAGCAAGAGAAGCAGGGTGTACTGTTTGTGTGTGTGTGTGTGTGTGTGTGTGTGTGTGTGTGTGTGTGTGTGTGTGTGTGTGTGTGTGTGGTGAACATGCCCCGCGATGTGCTGTCTGAAGGTTCCGTTCCCTATCTGACCAGCGTGTGTGGCGTTCCGCAGAATGGCCTGTTTTTTGGCGGTGTGGGTCAGTCTCAGCGTCCTGTTGCTGTCGCAGGCTACGCTCTACCAGTCCATCCAGCAGCACCACGTGGCCCGGCCCGCCCGCACCGACATTCTCACCCTGGGTAAGCATCCGCAATTTTTCCGCTTTGAGCTTAGTGGCACGGTGTCGGGATGGGAGGTGTGAATTCCCTCCAGCGAGGGGCGGGGTGGGGGATGGGGGGTGGAGCAAGACGTCAGGACGATTTGCCGTAGTTGTCGACCGGAACACGAGGATTCGCCGCGTTGGCGGCCAACCGACAATACGCAAAGGCTTAATTGGGCCTCGACTTTGCTTCCCGCGTACGCGTCGACGCACGCTCGCATCCGCTTCCATATTCATCTGGGTGTGAAAGGAGAGCCGCTCTTCCGCCGTGCCGTTTCTTTCGACGCCTCGTTGGCGGGGACGCGATGAGAAAAGCGACGACAACAGCACCCCGAGTCTTCTTGGCAAATGACGACAAGAAGCCGACGGCACAAGCCCCCGCGAATGTGCCGGTAGCCGAGGGAGCTTTGATCTGCGTGCCTGGAAATGACAATGATGTTTTCCCTCTTTTGTCGCGAAAACCTCGGTCAATTAAGCCAAGGCGCCTTCTGCGCTGCAGGGGCCACCGAGGAGGGAAGCGGCCCGGGCAGATTTCATTCTCCGATGATGAAAAAGCTTACGAGCGTCGCTAATGGGGTAAGTTCTGGCAAAGGGGAGGTTTTTGGTCGCAAGGCAAAAAGGCTCGCTTTAAGCCACCAACAATGAGTCTTCCGTCCCTTCGCCCAACCCTCAGACATTGGCGGGGATTCTTTCCGCAAAGCCGAGCGGCTGTTAAACAGACGCCGCCGGATCTTCGACTCCCCTCTGCTTCACGCGTTGCGCTTGAGGTGCGGACGAAAAGAAAGAAAAAGCTAAATCCGGGCCCGTTTTCGTGTGCCGGAGACTTTAAGCAGCATGCCAGAAAATTGACTTCCAGTAGCTCTTCGCTGAAACAGCTGACGCGTAAAAATCCAAACGGTGACAGGAAGCTTTCCAAGTATCTCGTTGCTGTTAATTGGCTTGACGGATGAGCGATAGGAAGGAATTTGGAAAGGATAGTTTTCCTTCCCAGTGTAGTTTTTTTTTGGGGGGGGGGTGACTGGTGGCCATTTGGTTTTTGGTGCCCACAATGTACGCGTGAGCCTCATTGAGCGTCTTTTGAAGAATGGCGCGGTCCCGTCAGCCTCACTGAAAACGTGAAGGCGTCGAGTGTACACACTTTGCTCATTCAGGCAGAAATTTCCTCCCGACGGCAGTCTGACATTTTCGTGGACCCCTCGAGGATATCAGAGCTTTGTTCAGAACACAATTTGATCCTTTTTTTTTTTAAAGATCAAATTTGTTGCATATGTCACTAGACTGATTTCAACTTGGGGGGGCTGAACACGGCGTCAATAATGGCAGCAGAAGCAGCATTCGTTCAGGCGGCCATGGGCGCTTTATCTCGCATTTTAGCCTGCTTGGAACAAAACGGTTTTCACATGTTTGTCAGGCCATCATAAATTGCGCTATTTCGTCCTCCTCATCTGCTGGCGTCCGAGAGATGATGGCCAATCATGTTTGGCACTTGCTGATTTTATTTGGATGTATTTTTACATTTTTTTTTTAATTTCCATGCTGCTGGGCAATGAAGCATTTGTCGAGTTGACCGTCTTTTGCAGAGGATGAGACATCAATCTTACTCAGCCGTTGAGTGCCACTGACCAGAACTGCTTTCTCTCAATTGAAATGCTGTGATGAATATTTCTATTTCGATTGATTTTGTAATCGGAGAGCGGCTCCAGTTTCACCGCGGCCCGTACACTCTCATAGAAATAGACGTGACTATGTGATGATGATGATGATGATGATGATGCGGCCTTCTTGGAAAAGCCGTTGTCCCTTAGACGTTGACACGTTGCCTTCGAACCTCCTCCCAAGCTGTTGAATTTGCCAGCCGCTCATTTCTAAAGCTTATTATTCGTGCGGGAACCGCAGGCTGACTTTGGGGCCCCCCGCCCGGATGTGCTCTGGCGCCGACGGTGAGCGGTGCCAAAGTGTCGCCGTGGGCAATTCTTTTGCCGGTGACGAAGAATCTGTGTCTTGTGCACCACCGCCGAGAGTGTGCATCGGAGTTTAACTTAGTATTGACATGAGGCTAAATGCCTTTTGCGCAGACGTGCCTCGCAAGCAGTATTTCACTTTCTTCATCGTCACACAAGTGTAAAAAGGCAAACGAGGGTATGTGGTGACATTTGTGCATGGCGGACCATCCCCACCAAGGACAAAGACACAAACGATGACAGGAAGGGTGCTTATCTGAGGGAGTTTTGTCAAGGTCACCTGGAGCTGAGAGTACATGTTGTCTGCTCACGTTGAATAATGTTGGACAGATCACCCTATGCAAAAAAAAAAAAAAAGCAAAACGCTAACACCGCATAGCACAAAAAATGAGTTCAAGACCTTTATATAAACATAGATATTTTTTCTGGGCTCCCCAATGTTTCCCTGACAAATGGGTGCACTGAGGCAGAGATTGAGTAAGCAATCGCTTGACTGCTTGGTCACCTGTTGGGGAAGCGGCGCGGCGCTGCTGCCGGCGAGCCTCTCACCTCCCTGACGTCCTGCTCGCCCGCCTCAAGATTGATGGTGGCCTGATTCTGTGCGGCCAATTTCGCTCTCTCTAGAAATAATCCACTTCATTGACAGATGGGCTGAATGTGACGTGACACGCGCAAGCTGGGCCGACACTTTATACACCGGCTCCAGGAAGTACTCGCTCCCAGGAAACATCGAAAAAAACCAGGACATGTTAGACATTGACGCCGGTATTCCATTTGACTCCAACCCAGGTAGTCGTATTGCACAGCCGTCGGTGCTGCCAAAACTAAGGGTTGCCGTCAAACGTTAACATCGTGCGATTCGACCTTGTCATGACGTCACGACAAAAGCAATGATACGAATTGTTCCGCCAAAGAATTCACTGTGCGTCAATACCCAGGGGGGCCGTCTGAAGGCGGCAGCGTTTAAGATAGCGTTTTATTTGATTCTCAATCTGACGGAGCAGTTTACGAGAGCCTCGGATGTGAGAGACGAGCGTTGCGCCTGGTCCGGGTGCAGCTGTAAATCCGGCCCGGAACACTTTTGAAGCAGCGTGCTGCGGACGTCGCGTTGCTCACTGTGTGCGCTCACTTTCATACATAATTGGAGTTCCCGTTTCTGCCGCACGTCCGAGCGGAAAGACGGTTCTTGTGGTGGTGCCTTTCGGCTCTCGTCCAGTGCCTCGTGAGGTTTCTCAGCTTTTGGAGAGTCACGTAGTGATTCAAGAGTCATTCAACCCAGCGAATGCTTTTTTTGCGCAATTCCATGTCAGATTTCGATGAAGGTGTTCCGCCACATGAGGCGGCGGTGATTTAGAAAGACTGCAAAGGCCGACCCAAAATAATGAACGTATGAATAGCTCTCTGCCATTCTTATTCATCCTATAGCAGAACAGTTGGCACGGCATCTTGAGCGATTCCTCAAGAGAGCCGCTCGGCTCGCCGTTTTCCAGCCACCTCACGTTGCACGGGACGCCTTTGTGCCTTTCGATAATCTGCCGACACACTCGAGCGGCCTCGCCCGGCCGACCGGCGTCACGTGATCGCTCGCCCCGCGTGATAACCAAAGCGGCTTTTCAAGCCCGAGCTAGGCAATCATCGTTCAGGTGCCATCCGGCGCTCTCTTTGCGCCGGAACCCCGCAACCTCCCTCCATCTCCTCGGTGCTATCGGCCCCCCTCGGACGATTTGTCATGGATCAGATGAGACAATTTGTCATGGATTAGTGCGCTTAAATGTCTGTGTGATAGCGGGAGCAGTCAGTGGAAAAGCTGCGGAATCCTATTACACTGCGCTTTTATGGCCAGAAAGACGACAGGCGGAGTAGGGCTTCAATTGGCGCTTTTCTTCGCCCGCCGAACCTTTCTCTACTCTTCCCCGCGCGCACCAGCGGGCGCTAATCAAAGAGAGAAGCGGCATCGACGGCTCTAAATTTGGAATACAAGACCCAGCGGTTTATTTCACAGTGGCGACGGACGGTCACATTTTATGACGGGTGGCCAATCCGCACTCAGAACAGCGAGGCGGTTTCAAAGGCAGATTTTCATTTACATATACACACCAACACCACTTTCATGATTGGCATCATCCTGGTGACAAGTTCAGAGTTGATGTATTTATTTCTTTATTTTCAAGTGACAATTCTGTCTCACTGCGTTTTTTTTCAGTTGTTTTTGTAAAATGACGCTTATCGGGAGCGCCCCATCACCATTGAACTTTCTATTTTAAGAGATTCTGTTTGTGTATTTCTGCAACCGACCTCGTCTTATTTGCCTACAGCGTCATGCATCATTACCATCTTTGTTTACACAATAACATATGCGGGTTCTCTCTCACCTTGGTGTCCCGAAAGTCCTTTAGAACTCTGCTTTTTAAAGGGAAATAGCGAGCTCATGTTAATGGGGTGGGGGAATTTTCGAGCAGGTAATTGTGATGCGGCGGCGCGATGCAATGGCATCATTTAAATCCACTCTGGAGGGAAAAATGGGCCTCGTTGACGCTTTTGTTTCTGGCCGACTCACTTTCTTTTCATTTACTCCGCGGTCGTCAAATTGGGTTGTCTTGGCTACATTTCTCATATACGCCTAAATCTCTGTGGGTTTTTTTTTTTTTTTTTTTTGCAATCTCTTTTTTCTGTGTGTGTGTGTGTTCACCTGATAGTGTTGCACAGCAAATAATAAGCATAAAGTCAGGGTGATGGAAAAGTGCCAGCCAGTTGATTTCGTGATGGGAATCCACGCGATAAATGATGTCTCCATTTGCGTACACTTTTTTTGCACGTGTTTTCTCATGATGTTGAAATTTAGCAGCGTCTTTAGCAGTGACTTTTGCCCAAGCGAACAATCCTTCAGTCGCACACATTGATGATTGGGCTTGGAATTATGATGATCTGTATTGCATCTCAGTAAAGTATTGCAGCCGAGTGTAAAGTGGTTGCGACGAAAACCAGCACCTCCAAATCTGAAACAATGGTCCTCTGTCGG